CACATTAAACATGCACAACAATTTTTACAAAATGGTAATTCATCAATACAATCAAAAATATGCATTTCCATGGCATTACATCTGTTTGCAATGTATTTTTCACTACAATAAACCTAATTGTAATATGCATCACTGTCTAAAGCTTAAACAAAGATGATATATGTATTAATCCATTACAAGAAGACCAAAGATTGTTAAAATTTTATCAGAATATTGAATACTCACTTTGTTTCTACATGAAGTAGCCAGGTCAATATTGGCATTGTTCTCCTGGGTGTTGCAATTTGTTTTTGGCCAATTATATTTATGTGTGCACCTATTTAAATTAATATATATATATATATATATATATATATATATATATATATTCCATGAGGATAAAATCTATGTAGACAGAGCAAGAATATAATATAAAAGGCTCAAATGCTAATATTTTATGGTTATAATTTATTACATATTGGTATTGTAACCACAACCCAATTCATCAGAGCTACAAATTCAAAAAAAAATTGAATTTGAAGGTCTGATGAATTGGGTCATGCTTACGATTTCAATGTAATAAATTATAACCATGAAATATTAGTGTTTGAGCCTTTTATATTTTATATATATCTATATCTATATCTATATACATGCACACACATATATAAGCACACACACACACATATATGTATGTATAAGTAATAAATTGATTGAGTATTTCTCTATATTACAGGTCATTGCTTGTTAAATGTATTTCTATGGCCAAAGTAGTTTGTACATATATGTAATTTCCTTCAAAATAGATTATCAGGCAATATATTACCTTGTTACACTAAACCGCATACACAAATATACGTTTATATGCACAAAACACTCACATACACATGCATATATATAGCCCCACAAGCATGCAAACATACATATATGGATATGCTAGAGATATGCCCCCATAAACATGTAAGTTAAACACTGCACATGAAATACAGATATATATATGTAGATAAGCACACTAAATTATAAACCCACATGAGTACAACACATGTATACTTACTTATATATGTACATAAACATAGCCCCTTCAAACAACATGGATACTTACACATATGTATTAACACACACATTACATTGGACATACACATGCACATAGATTTACTTATCTGTGTTCCATTATTATTCATGCTAGATTGGGTCAAATATACAGATTTATCCAATTTCACATTCATTAATATCTAGTTCATAAGAAAGTATATCTATATATATATATATATATATATATATATATATATATATATATATATTCATATATATTCATTCTCTGTAGATATATCTGTTTGTTGCATGTTTCTTGCAATGTATCCATTAATGTATTGGTCTGAATTATTTTATACATAAATCTTAGACTGTTTATTACTTGGATGCAATGTAAAAATTGCATTATTGATTTTGAAGCTGACTGCTTTGGTTTTCTTGGAGACTGCATAGTATTAAGGATCACTTTTATGGTATCGTATTCATTTCTTAAGACATTTTTTAGAATTACCCAATTAGAAATCTGAGAACTTTTTCCAAAACAATCATTTAATAGTGAAATGGAACAATAAAGCATATTTTGAATAAATAGATATTTAATTTTATATCCTCTATCTTACGTTCAACTGGCTTATCGTAAAGTGAGGCTTTTGTCTGATCTCAGAAATTAGACAGCAAACAACCTGTTGACTACTTACATTGGTGAGTGGTTAGGAACACTAGGAAGTGTAAGCAGTTTGTAGCTTTTTGCCAAACTAAGTAATAAATTATCTCAGGCTCAGAGAGACTGGCAAAAAATTGATACATAAAAGTAAAGTAAGTTATAATATAACCTTGATTTGTTGATCAGAAGGTATTCAATTTTAACAAAGTATTTTTTATATTTACTAAGCATTTACTCATCATTATCATAATCATCATCATCATGAGTTCTGTAAATTTTAAGTACACCTTACATACTACAATTGTAATAACAGTGGATGTGATGAGGGCAAGATAGTCTGACAGAGCCCATCCATTTTCAGGCTATTTCTGAATTCAGAGTTGTCCTTTTCTTAGATTGGTTTCAACCCAAGTCTAGAGAACTCAGTCTGCTTTGCTATTTAACTCATAGCTGTAGAGAAGACTAGATAGATTCATGCCGATCCCAAAAGAATTTCTATGAAAGTAAATACAACAGACTAGTCTAGAATTTGAACTCTCCTCATCGATTCCACTTTTCACATTGATATCCATTAAACTTCACATCCATCTTCCTTTCTAAGCTTAGCTTTGTATGTCTTTCTTTCTATGTGCCAAGTCCTTTCAGGATGTAGGCGATCATGGCTCTCCACCTCCCGCTATCTCTTGCAGCTCTCAACAAGTTCCTTCCTTCTGCTACCTTCCCCAGACCACGTTCTGTCACCCACTTGCTTAAATCTGCTAGGTATGTCAGGCATTTTTTTTTTCTTCTCTACATTTCCTTCTGTTCGACCCATGAGTATTAGATTCTCTAGGCCCTTCCTCATTCTCCTTCCTCATTATGTGTCCCAGGAACTTCAGCTGCCTCTTTCTGATGTTAAGTATAAGCCTTCTCCTTGTTTTCATCCTCTCTAAGACCTCATCATTGCTCACATACTCAGTCCATGATATCCTTAGCATCCTTATGTAGAACTACATCTCTGTCGCCTCGAGTCTTTTCTTCATCTTTGACGAAATCGTCCAACATTCACTGCCGTAAAGAAGGACTGATGTCACGTAACAGCTCAGTATCCTTTTCTTAGTTATCAAAGAAATCTTTGTATGTCACAAACTTAAATTAGATGCAAGAAGATTACTGTCCCTAATCTTTTAGTGAGCAACTAAAAAAAAATCAACTGTGAAAATCGTGGGTTTTGTTGATGCTTGAACATTAACCACTGATTCTAGTTTGAAATATCCAATTAGCTCAGTAAGGTGGAAGGGTTCAAAATTTATTTTAAAGCTTAACTTAGCCTGGCACTCTAGTGAGACATGAACAAAAAATCAACATCCTCTATCAACTGTTCCAAGAAATGGGATTCAAGATAAACCTTTCTAAAATTTAAATTATGATCTGGAATTGGAATGAAAGCATGGATGCTACCTAGTCTGGATCCATCATAAAAATTCAGGATGTAGAATTAGTAAATAGTAAACAATACCTCAGTTTATAGATCAGTTAAAACAAATATAGGACTGAAGAAAAGGAAATTGATCAAAGGATTAATTCAAAGGATCATGTCAAAGGATAGGCTGTACTAGAGGTTGCTTCATCAAACACAGCAAACTGCTAAAAAACAAAACATTAACCTGAAAACTCGAGTCATGTTCATAGTCTCATCAGATTGAGACTTTCATATGGATGTCATGTATGGCATCAAAGCCATTCAGAAATATTTAAACTGTGAGCTTTATACAACTGCTTTCTATGATCATTGGTGAAAAAAGGCTTTGAGCAAGTGAAATCTGAGGGCCTTGTTAAAAATCATCCTTCTTTGAACATTGTGGACTGGTAATACAGATTCACAAATAAAGATCTGTAGAAAATAACTAAAACCACATGAGGTCTACCAACAACAGCAACAACTAAAATGGGCAGCACATGTAAGTTGAAGAGAAAATAATAATATAGTCAAAATGTTAACATTCCACACTACTTTAAATAAAAGGTTAGGAAAGAAAACTACATCAATAGTGGAAAGAGCGATAACAGCTACTGGATTAAAAACCTATTTTCCTTGAAAAATTGTTTTATGAGAAAGATTTTATAATTTCAACTGAAAGCAGTACTGGTTGTTTGGTTAATGAATGCCAAATGTTTCCTTAAGGGAAATGGTTAACATTACGAAAGTAAGGCTGGAACTCATTATTTTAAAATGGAAAAAATTCTGCAAGCAGATACCTAGAAACAAACCTGTTTTCTTTTTTATTCTCTTTACTGAAATATTATCAATTAGGCTACCTCACATATTTAGCAAATTAAAAAAAATATTCATGGCACCTGACTGTTTAGTTTTTACAGATTCAAAACTACCAAGTTTTTTTAATGAATTCATGAATATAAAAGTGATTTTGCAAGTTTAAAAATATAATTCTTAAAAAGTTATTTGTGAATAATCTTGTTTGTTATTCAAATATTGATTACCTATGAGTATGTGCTTGGGAGTCACCTCTGAGATCTTTTATACACATAGACAGATAAATATTTAATTCAGGGCTTTAATCGAAGACACTATGTTGATGGACAAGCGTCTTAACCAGATGAGTCCAAATAAAAATGCAGAAGCTTGCAAAGACATGAATGCATGCATGAGTGAATAAATGAACCAATCAATGAATAGATGAAAGAAAGAAAGGTTCATGTCAAAGGAGAGTTTGCAGCACATGCACGTAATAGATGATGAAATGGGAAAGAAAGACTTTGAAGAAAGGGAGATAAGTCACTGAGGAATAATTTGGTGTGCACATTTGAATTTAAAAGGCTAGACACGAAGGATGGAAGACAAGGAATTTGAAAACAAGGAGAGTGATAAATAGGATGTTGGTGGTTTGTAGAAATAAGAGTGGGTTTAAGCTTCCGTCCTTGCTTCGATCTGTTGATACATTATTTAGTCGTCCCTTTTTTTTCTCTCCTTTTCTGGTGTGGCCATAATCTCAACATTGAATTGAGCTATCCACAAGCAATGGAACATACTGCAAATCTGTGTAGAGGAAGAAGAAAATTGTTTCAGGGTGTCAGTGTCATGTTTGCTGAAATGATGTCAAAAGAAGCTAATATGAATGGGATAAAAAGGAAGAAAAAGCAACAATACTTGTAAGAAGGGAAAATAAGGAAACACAGTGATGAATAAAATAAAAGGAAGGAAAGAAATGAAAATAAAGAAGAAAAATAAAAAGAAAGAATGAAAGTACAAATGATTCAAAATAGCAGGAAGACGAAAGAGGAAGGGATAGAAAAATATAGGAAAGATGGAAAATAAGCCATAAAGTTAAAAGAAGAAAGAGGTCATGTGATAAAGAGGGGAGGAGGAGGAGTATGGAAAAGATAAAATAAGTGAGGGAAGAGGAGGTATAGCAGGATGGGAAAGAAAATGATGATCACTAAGAGGAGGAAGAAGAGGAGGTATAGCAGGATGGGAAAGAAAATGATGATCACTAAGAGGAGGAAGAAGAGGAGGTATAGCAGGATGGGAAAGAAAATGATGATCACTAAGAGGAGGATGAAGAGGAGGTATAGCAGGATGGGAAAGAAAATGATGATCACTAAGAGGAAGAAGAAGAGGAGGTATAGCAGGATGGGAAAGAAAATGATGATCACTAAGAGGAGGAAGAAGAGGAGGTATAGCAGGATGGGAAAGAAAATGATGATCACTAAGAGGAGGAAGAAGAGGAGGTATAGCAGGATGGGAAAGAAAATGATGATCACTAAGAGGAGGATGAAGAGGAGGTATAGCAGGATGGGAAAGAAAATGATGATAATGATGAAGAGGATGAAGAGGAGGATGAAGAGGAGGTATAGCAGGATGGGAAAGAAAATGATGATAATGATGAAGAGGATGAAGAGGAGGATGAAGAGGAGGTATAGCAGGATGGGAAAGAAAATGATGATAATGATGAAGAGGATGAAGAGGAGGATGAAGAGGAGGTATAGCAGGATGGGAAAGAAAATGATGATCACTAAGAGGTGGAGGAAGAGGAGGTATAGCAGGATGGGAAAGAAAATATCATGAGGCTGGAAAGAAGATGTAGAAACAGAAGATGTATAAAGAAAAGCAGTAGAGGAAATACAATAATTACAATGCTGTATTGGAAGTAGATGAAAAAATATACTGATGAATGAAAGAGGGTAGAAAAAAAGAAGACAGGCAAGAGTAATAATGTAAAGAAAAAAGATATATAAAAGAAGAAAAATAAAGGAAATGTGAAGGAAAACGTAAGATGGCAAAGAAGAAAAATTCAGAAAGAAAAAACTGCAAAAGAATAAGTATGAAAAAAATTAAAGAAAAGTAGGGCAAATAAAATGAAGATGTAAAATAAAGAAAAGAAATAGGTAGATAAGATAAAGAGAAAATGAGGAAGAAGTACAGAAAGTGATGTAAAAAAATAAGTGATGAATGAATAAAATCATGGTGAAAAGAAGAAATTGAACAATATGAAAAGAAATAAATGCTAAAACAAGAAATGGAATGAAAAGAAGGAAAAAAGGTGAACAGAGATGAAAAAGAAAGAAAGAGAAAAGTAAACACTGAGAAAGAATAAGAGAAGGTGATTTAAGAAGAAATAGAATGAAAAGAAGAAAAAGATGAACAGGAAGAAAGGAAGGAAAGAAAAGGAAAAGATACTCAAGAAGAAGAGAAAAAATTGTAGTTGGTTAAGGAGAAGCTTAGCATGTTAACAGCAAAGGATGACTCATATTCGTGTGCTTGGAGGAAGGGTAAGTTAGAAGCCTTCCTTATATTGAGTCACATGCTTTTTTTTTGTCATTTGCCAAATATATAAAATATATTTACATAAATATATAAAATAAAGATGGTCAGGTTTGGATAGAGTTTTTCTTTTTATTCTTTTTTTCTCTCTCTTTCATTTTTAAAAAAATAATGTTTTCCATATTTGCCTTGCACTATTTCAATTGGTGAAGTTAGAAATGGAAAAATTTGGTTGAAATATGTTTATCATCATCTTAAAAACAAGAAGCAGTATTACTATTGGAACTAGAATAGTACCCATAAAAACTGATGGCATTATTTACATACAGATCAGAATTACTGTTTAGCATTAAAGTGTCATTTGCTCATCACCCTGCTGAAAATCAGAGTGTAGTATCTGTGCACACTGTGAAAAGTATTGTGCGCATACACACGCACACATATGTGTACACACACACACATATATATATATATATATATATATATATATATATAGAGAGAGAGAGAGAGAGATGTGTGTGTGTGTTTGTGCATCTATATATGTGTGTGTACATGTGTATATATATATATATGTGTGTGTGTGTGTGCATGTATGCGTATATATATATATATATATATATATATATATATGTCTGCACACACACACATATATATATATTATATATATATATTACTTACATTAATGTTAATGGCTGGGCACTTGTATTCGAGGTTACCCATCTACTATGGCAACTTGCTAATCCCTATTGCAGATGCTTGCTCAGGCACATTTTGTGTTTGTTCAACATCCACAGAGCCCACCTGCAACTATGCTGAGCAGACCTTATTTACACTTTCTGGGAGAGAAGTATGTTATCTAGTGTGATCAACAATATGAACAAGGCCAGCACATTCAAGCACTCAGTCACAATGACTTTGTGCTAGCAAAGTCATTGAGGGAGCCCAATGGTTCTATCTTCCTACTTTCCCTCATAAGCCTTGGGTCAACCTATGGTATAGTTTTCAGGCTCTTTCCAAAGATGCTGCATGCTGGGATCACCTCCTTCAGACTGATAGCATCTAGCAGTCACCTTCCTGACAAATTAACCTTGGTGAGATTCAAACCCAGATCTCATGGTCAGAAAGGAAATGTTCTAACTACTTGGCCATGTGCCCATATATAACCACAAAATTTGACAACCTCACACACAAGAAAAACATCAACCTCACACCAATAATAACAGTCCCCTAACAGGCACATAAACTTCGATCTTAGTACAGTGTAAACCGGATATAAGAGACCCGGATATAAGAGAAACCCGGATATAAGAGAGATTTTATCTGGTCCCAAATTAGAGCCTGTGTTAATGTATATAAAACAGACCAAACCCGGATATAAGAGAAACCCGGATATAAGAGACTTCTTCTCTGGTCCCGACAATATCTTATATCCAGGTTACACTGTATAGCAATAACAAAAATGAAAAAAAAACAGCAATCAATTGCTGAAACTTCCTGAAGAGTGGACAGAACAATTACAAAAACTTTTTCCTGAAAATCTGGAATTGATGTTCTGAATATATCATCAATCACCTAAATAACAAATATTATTTGTATTAATCTCTATAAAAGGCAGGATGTGTGTGTGTATGTAATGACTGCAAGGCTGCAATTTTCTACGGATTTGCACCAAAATTTACATGCACATGCTCCAAGTTAGTGGGAAGGCATAGACCAACTTTGCATTTCCAACTCCCATTGATAGTGGAAATAATCGATTTTTTCATGCTTCTACGGCAGTTTTTATGTAGTTTGTGGCCATTTTGTACTGGCCAGAGGGAGAGCCTATAGCTGGCTGCCATGAATAGGCAGGAAGATTCTATTTGCCAGCATGAGAGCCAACAGCTGACTGTCATGAATGTTAACTAGCATGCTAGCATGCAAAAAGAATCGATAGCTGCATTCGTGACAAATGGGAAAAATTAAAAACTGCATGGCACTTTACTCCAATTGGCTCATTCGCTTGCTTAAACTCAATGTTGATTCTGATTCTGCAGAACTGGGTTGGGTGTGAAAAAGTATTTGTTGTTAACATTCTTTTTTCATTCAGTTTTTCCAGTTATGAGTCTTTTTTTAAAGCTGATCATTTTGTGTTCATTTTGTTTAGTTTTTTTTTCGTAACAGATTTAATGTTTAGTATAGAGCTTAGAAAAAATTTGCTGTGTGGGAGAGGCAAGAAGTAAGGCATGTAGCAACATCAGCACGGCAAAGGGCACTCCTTTAAAGGCAAGATAGGGCAAAAATATTTTAAGTCAAGTGATAGTGATTGCTGTATGAGTCGTGCTGCTAGTCATATATATATATATATATATATATATATATATATATATATATATATACCTGTTAGTATAATCTAGGCAAGTCCTATTAACACAATACAGAATTTAAAATATGTTAAAACTGACTCACAAAAGAGTGCTCAATGTTTATTTTCATTAAACAGACCAAATTTTTCTTTACAATTGAATTAAAATACCTTCAGTCAAACTAAAGGTATCTTAATTCTAATTGTAAAGCTATATATATGTTTGTGTGTGTGTTTTTAGTCGTAAGCTTGTGAAAGTCCTTGGTTTAAATTTTTTTTATTTATTTTTTCTTCACTCTAAACCATTTTCATGTATTCTATGTCGCACTCCATATTAATTCACCAAAACTTATTGAAGGCTAAAAGCACTCAAAAGGCATTAGACAATTTGCTCAAGAAAACAAATCTTAATTAACTTTTTGGAGTTTTCCACTAAACATACTAAAATGAGAAATTGCTTCCAAATATACCCCATATATATATATATATATATATATATATATATATATATATATATATATATATACACACAGCGTGGATATAGGCATCAATACTTGGTTTAGAAGATGGCACTGAGACAATAAACTGATAGTGACTATGCAGTGTTGATTCTTATATTCACACTGTCTATACGTATAATCACTCCATATCTGATACAGAGCACACAGAGCACATTTCTGTCCAAAAAACAAATTCTAGACCCCCACATATATATATATATATATATATATATATATATATATAGAGAGAGAGAGAGAGAGAGAGAGATAATTGACTCTCCTGTCATTTTCTTAGAACCAACACCCAGACTACCTGCACATATAATTTGATTATAATGGTGACAGCTCATTCAGAACCAACCAAACTTTTTGGAAGAGCTGAATACAGAGATCTCAAAACCACCCTCCACAAATTTTGAATTCAGAGTTGTCCTTTTTCTAGACTGTCTTCCACCCAGTTTCACCAGCTATTTAACCATAGCTGGGGGGAGAATTTATACCTTTCCCAAGGATATTACCCTGTAAGTGAATGAAATGAACTGGATTGGAATTCAAACTCGGCTCACTGATTCCTCAATTACTCCACTATGCCTCCATATGTACAGTCTAAAGATTGCGTTCACGCATGAAACAGACTGTCACCATTTGGTGTTGACCTCAGTGTCTAATTATATGCATTGTTTTCTATAATATCAACCTAAGGAAACAATGCCAACTTCTTTCCTAATTTGATGTAGTGTGGAAATTCATCATCTTGATTATGTCATTATTTTCGCTTTGAGTTTCATTTGATATCCATTTTAGTTGTTGCCGCTCTTCATTTGGTACAGTTCTTCACTTCCTCAAAATGGGACACAACAAATAGAAGAATCTCTATCTGTCTTGGTTTATTCATATATGCTTATTTTTTCTCTCAGATAGAAAAGGTAAAGATATGGCTTTGTTATCTGGGCTTTTACAGCAATAAGACAAAACATAGAATGTATCAGAGAATGAATTGGGGTGATAGTGATAATAACTAACTTATAACCAAAAGCAGACTGGAAGCCATTGCCATGAAGCAAAAAGTGTTGAAGGGGCAAAATCTGATTTAATGCAAAGAGAGGTTAAGAAGATATGACCATAAATGGTAAGACAAACTTAAACAAATTTTTTGTGATGACCAATCAGAAGTAGTTGTTTCATTTACAGATATATATCTAGGTATGTGTAACTTACTGGCACGTATCTTTGGACTCTGACAAATATTTGCATCTTTTGTTAACTTGGGAATACATTGGAATGATTGACTAATCAGTTGTCATCTTCTATATCATTATGGTTAACAATAAGTAAACCATTTTATTCAGGCCAATACACATCTATTTCAAGATAGAATAATACATAGCTGCAACAAAGACTTTGATTTTAAATAAGTACCAATTGAAATGTTAATTAAATAAATTAACAGTTTGCTTTGCAGTATGTTTATAGTAATTATACTAAAATACATTTTCATTACTATTATTGCATTATTTTATTGTTATTTTAAATATCCTTATTATAAATGAGCTCTCTCTCTTTTGATGTTAGAGACAAGGATAGGGTTCTGAACTGTTATTCAATATCTGTCCTCCTAGATGGCAGCGAATGATGGACAATTGCCTCACAGATGAATAAGAGACAAAGCAACAGAAATGTGTTTCTACAGAAGGATGCTGAGAATACCATCGATGTAGTATATGAGCAACAAGGAATTTTTAAGGAAAATTAGAATAATCTTTTTAGTTTATGATCAATTTCACCACAATTCTTCAGTTAAGCTTGTGGAGTAATTATATGTTCTTGCCCAAAACAGAGTTCAATAGTGTTATAAAAACCTTGGAGAATTCCAGTAAGATATCTTTAATCATCTCTTAGATTAGCTTAATGCTTAATCTAACAACTGGGCAGTATTGTTGTCATACCCAATATATATATATATATTTATAATTTATTCCTTAAAAAAGGCAGGATATTGGAGTGTGTATATATACAGGGTGTCTCAAAATAATGTATACACTCTTAGAATTGTTATAACTTATTCAATTTATGTATTTTGACTATAAGATTATTACAAGAGAAAGAATACACATTTAAAGAATTTGAGAAAAAAGAAAAAACATAGAAAAGTAACTTTAATAAGATAAAAGCGATTTGGGTCAATGGCAGAATGTTTATATAATGATGAATTCAAATCAAGTGCTCAAACTGATTGCAGTTCTATTCAATACACTTTTCATATCTTGAAGAAATAGACATACAAACGTCTAGTATCATTTCCTCTGGTATTTGAACACATTCTTCTTCAATTCCTACTCTCATTTCAGCAATTGTTTCAGGTTTCCTGCTGTAAACTTTGTCTTTTAGAAACACTCACAAAAAAGAAATCCAAGAGTGTCAAATCTGGTGATCTAGGTGGGTATTCAACCATCCCACTTTTTCCAATTCATCTGTTTTGCATATTTTCATCCATATAAGTTCTCACATCATGCTAATGTATTATTAACTATTAATATTTAAAGAGTGTATATATTATTTTGAGACACCCTGTATATATATATATATATATATATATATATATATAGTGTGTGTGTGTGTGTGTGTGTGTGTATTGTGAACTTTACAATCAATTTCAATGTATGAGGTTCTAACAATTCTAGAATTGAAATGCCTGACTCCATGCGCATAGGATTTGCTTGTAGTGGTGAATGATTCTGTAGAAGAAGCTACACTTTGGAAGCAGTGACAACAGAGAAAATTTGCACAGTGTGCAATCGTGTCTCTACTGGTTGCTAACCAAGTTTAGAGAGCTTGTTCTGCCCTGCTATTTCACCAATATCTATGTACTTAGGGAAGCAAGTGGAAATATTACAGAGGTGCAAAATGAATTTGCCTCAAAAATTTAAGTTGTCCAGGCCTCATGCACCTGCAGCTGAGAGAACAAGAAATGGATTCATAACTTTCCCAAGGGTTGTTAGGCAGTTACAAATGCAACAACCTTAGCTAGAATTTGTGCTACGTGACATGCCAATCCCACTATGATGGAGCTAACACACACATGCAGAAACATACATACATACATACATATTATATATATATATATATATATATATATATATATATATATATATATATGAATGCATATTCTTGTTGTGCTTTCAGTCATTTTGAAAAAATCATCACTGAGTATTTTGACTCTCAGACACAACACTATAATTTGATGATTTTTTTTTTTACTAGAATATTATAAGTGGTCATAAGAGAAATAATGAGGATGATTTCTATAACAGAATGTTGTATTCATGCAAAGCAAAGGATTAACCACTCCTTTTGGTAAATTACAAATTATGATATTGTCAATAGAGTTTTTATGCAAGATTATATACACATGTGTATATATATATATATATATATATATATACACACATGTATATATATATATATATATATATATATATATATATATATATATATATATATACACACATGTATATATATATATATATATATATATATACACACATATATATATGTACACATATATATATATATATATATATATACATATATGTATGTACGTATATATATGTATATATACACATATATGTGTATACACACACATGCAAACATATACATATATATATATATATATATATATGAAGAAATATAGTTTTATGGTGTGTTATATTTATGGGATAAAGTGCTCAATATCAGAGATAGAGTGTATGTAAATATAAATATAAAAGTGAACGCTGAAGTCAAAACACAGAGGTGACAGGCTGTTTCATGCTGGATGCAATTGTCAGGCAGCCTGATGAGTATGTCCAGCATTAAAAAAAATCTGTCAAATTGTAGCGTTTTCTATATATATATATATATATATATATATATATATATATATATATATATATATATGTACAGTCACTCTGGCACATATATAAACGGTGATCGAAAAGTAACTTCTTATTTTATGTATGAGGGACTTTCCCATCATGTAAACATAATATTTAGGTGGGAGAGCACATAATACATAAAATAAGAATTGCTTTTTAATCTCGTCTTGCTAAAACAATTACAACAGAATAAATAGTTTGATCCCCACTTGATGACCCATACATTTGGCCTTGTGCCACATCTAAACTATGCTTAGAAAATCAATATATATATATATATATATATATATATATATATTTCAATAATATATTTTTAAATCACACACACTATATATATATATATATATATATATATATATATATATACACACAGATATGTATAAAAACACACACACATGCACACACACATATATATATATATATATTTCTTATCCTAAAAGTGTTATTTTTAATGAAACAAGTTAAGCACCACAATGGCTTTATTTATTATACTAAATATAAGTCTTCTTCAGTAACTTTGACCTTAGTATAAACAGATATATTTTGAAGATGATTTTCTTCTTTAGTACTGAGCATGAATAAAACATTTTCCAAACGTTACATTATACCACCACTTGAACTCACATTAGACTATATTGCGTTGAATTACTGCTTGCTAGATAATACCTGTTTTACCTATGCTGCCAATGTACCTTACCTAGTAAGCAATGAAATCTGTTATTCTTATTTTGTTTAAATTAAAACCTAAATTTTCCAACTTTCTTCTGAATCAAAACCTTTTCTCAACAAAATGGCCAAAATATATGACTTCACACTTGAAAAAAGACAAGAAATGATTACCTTGAAAAAGAAAGATATTCTAGCAGAGAAATTTTCAAAAAAATAACAAATCTCAGAACTACAGTAGATTATATTGTTAGGAGACATCAGGAAATGGGACAAAGCAAGACTAAAAGTAGGGCTGATAGACCAAAAGCAACAGCAAGAGCAGAGGACAATTTCTTCAGAGTCACCAGCTTGTGTGACAGAAGACTGACTGCTCCAAACATTATTGCACAACTGAACTAATGTCATGAAAAAAATGTGTCAACATCCACTGTGAAGAGAAGACTCTGTGAAGCTGGCCTATATGGCAGAATTACTGTCAAGAAACCAAGGAATCAATGCAATGTCAAAAGGTTCCAGTGGTCCAAAGACTGGACAATAAAGCAGTGAAATAAAGTCCTTTGGACTGACGAATTAAAGTTTGAAATCTTTGTGTCAAATAGGAGGGTCTATGTGTGATGAAGAGTTGGTGAAAGAGCTGCAACCCCCTGTATGACACCAACTGTAAGACATGGAAGAGGCTCTGTTATGGTGTGTATGTGTGTGTGTATTGGGGGGGGGGCTTTTGCCAATTGCAAAGTTGGGTATTTGCACCAGGTGAAGAGCAAATTGAATCAGACCAACTATCACAGCATACTACAGCATCACGCAATCTCATCTACACAGCAAGTTTGTAGATCAAGGATTTGTACTCATGCAAAATAATAACCCAAAGTATACTAGTAAACTTTGCCAGAAGTACATTAAAAGCAAAGAGGAACAGCACATCCTTCAACTGATGTCTTGGTAGGTACAATCAAGGGACTTAAATCCCATTAAACTGGTGTGGGATGAACTTGACAGAAAATTCAGAGCTAAACAACCCACAAGAGTGGATCACCTCAGGCAACTCTTGCAGGAAAGCTGGGCAGAACTGTCCTCAGTCTACCTCCAGTCTTTGAAGCAATGATAGTGACTTAAGGGGGCCATTTTGATGAATCTAAATTTTAAGAAACCATTATGGTGCTTAACTTGTTTCATTGAAAATAAAAATTTTAGGATAAGAAATAAAAATAAAATTTTTGAGGGTGGGCATATACTTTTTGACTGGTAGTGTATATATGATTATATGTGTACATGCATACGCATACATATATATATGTATACACACACACACATATATACACACACACACATATATATATATGCAGGGATGTACATATATATATATACACATGCACACACACCTATATATATATCTATATTTATATATAAACACATACATATGAACATACATATATATATATATATATATATATATATATATATATATACACAC